TTATCTATGCTTTTATTAATTCCACTTCCTGTATACCATTCGCCTCTATCGTCAGTCCCAAGTATTGAAATGTTTCTACCTCCTCTATTTGTGTTCATTTTATTTCAATATTCATCACTATGGTCTTTGAATATTACATTATTTTTGTCTTGTTCTTGTTTATTGTGATTCCCTATTCTTTTACTAGTTTGTTCCATATTTCTAAATTCTTCTTTGGTCTTCTTGTGTTTGCGCATAAAGCTACGCCGTCACCGAAAGCTCCGTCAGATACTTCTACTCTTCTTAAATTTGTATCACACACACGATATTTTTTACTCATTCGTATACATGTTTTAATTGTATCATCCATAAATGCAATAAAAAGTATTGAATTTATCAAATTGTTTTCCGCAGCCCTTTTCTTTGGACCCTATCAAAATCTTTGTCTAAATCTATAAATGCCAAACGCCTTCTCTCTTCTTTTCGGTAGCTTTCAGTACAAGTTGTCTTATACATCTTGTACGTTGCATCCTCTTCTAAATCCATTTTGTACATCGTTCGGGGCTGGTCCTATTGTTGTTAGCATTTTTTATCGATTATTTTTTCCTATTATTCTCTTGGTCTTGCATATTGTAAGTGATTTTTTCAGTTCTCTCGAAATTTTTCCGCATTTCTTACCATTTTATAGATCTCTAGCATCTTCTGTTTCTTTTTGTTTCATATATTTAAGTATCACAGTGTTCCAGCCTAAAGATTTTCCATTCTTTAGAGTATTTATTGCTTCCTCCTATTTATTCGTATTTATCTCATGTTGTTTATGTTAATTTCCTTTTTTCTGATGCCTGATTTCTGTTATTATTGTTTCTCTGCACAACACCTCTTGGAAATATTCCCGCCACCTACCTATCATTTCCTTTTCATTCACCAATACTTCTCCTTTTTTTGCTCTAGATGTAGGGTCGTATATACCCTGGTATTTTTAGTTCTAATTTGTTTCAACACTCTATAGAATTCCTTTTCGTTTTCCTAATTCCATTTTTGATTCTCTTACCGAAATTTTCTCATTCCGTCCTTTTTGCATCCATCACCAGTCGTTTTATATTTCTTCTTTTTCTTCTGTGTCTCTGATATGTACGCATCGTTCTTTCCGTCTCTTCACTTCGTTTGTCTACCACGATGTTAGTTTTTACCTTTTTTCGTTGTTTTTATAAATGATTAAAATGTTTTTAAATCTCTTCCACATACAATCCACAATTTGATCAACTTCTATCGCTTTCATCCTTTTAAATTTTTTTTTATTCGTGTTTGTTACTTTGTTTTAAGTCTATGTATTTTAGATAATACAGGATAATGATCACTTCCGATTTATGATCCTCTTATAACTCTTGTATCTAATACATTTTTAAATTATCTTTCTGAACGAGCTCTTAATCTATGATAGATTTTTTTACACTGCTTATCATTTCTCTGGTATTCTTGTGTATATTTCTGAGTACAAAGTATGTGTTAATTATATTTAATCTATATGTATAAAAGATAGAAATCTAGCATTCTTCCTATGTTGTTGCTAACAACCTCTCCATGAATTTTTATCACTTCTTCATATCTGTGTTCCTTCTTCCCTATCCTGTTATTAAAATTTCCCAAGATATCTATTTCTCTCTTTGCCTTACAGCCTACACAGCTTCCGTCAAATTTACTAAGTTTTCTGTTTTATGGGTACCAAAGTATGTCCCTATTATAGTTGTCCCATCATCTTACTGTTATAGTTTATGTTATAGTTTCCCTTATATATCAATAGGTGATTGTTACTTATATTTACCAGCAGTTGTCCCTTCATTTTGGTCCCCATTAACGCCAGTACATTTACTCTCATATCTTCAAATTCCTTCATTAATTCCATTTCCTTTTCAATTCCATTAATGCTTTGGTGTACCATATTTCACACATAATATTTCTTCGATTATTTCTACATCTCATGTCTTTACCTCCATATTTCTATTATTCTTATTACCTCGTGTACCATTTCTCTGTTTTGTCATCTCCAAATTCGTTGGCCTGATCCACTATTTTTATTAGTTTTATTGTTGTTTTGTTAGAAGCCATACTTATCATAACTATAATGAAGGTCCAAAATTCATCATGCCAACTTTAGCATCGAATTTCGCGATTATATATTTTTATCAATTTTCATTTTGGCATAATTATTCGTTTCAGAAACTATTTCTTGAACGTTTTGTTCTCGATAAAAAACAATTTACCGCATAGTGATATTAGAAGTTATTTGTGGTCTTGTACCTCCTTCGTCAGTACCTATTGTGAGTTATCTGTATCTGAGCAGCTTCTCCCCCGGTTTCATTCCACCATCAATTCTAATTTTTCAGCTTCTTACACCTCTAACCTCGCTTTCAGCAGTTTAACCACTGAATTTTTTTATTTTATTCTCAAACATGTTTAGAGATAATTTGCTCTAACTGATTTGACGTATTCATATTTATAAGGCATAATAGCATTAAAAGTGTTATTCTTACTACCAAGAGAGTTCAGCTTAACGTCTAGCTCAGATTAACGCAAAATATGTAGACAGGGTCTGGTTTCACGAAAAGAATTGACATAAAAATATCTTATCGTATCAAACACAAACATATAGATCTCGAGAATTTATAAAGGTAAGTGCTGGGATGTCGCAGCGGCGCCTCTCGAGTGCTTGCAGGAGACGCTAGGACGCCATGGATGTGCAAACATTTTATCTTGAAAAATTAATTAGGAATGCAACAAAGATATTAACATTGTTAGAAAAGAACCATATTATCGGAGAGGTTTAAATGGTTATAACATATCATCAAGTGCTGTAAACTCATTGCTTAATGAGAAGTAGAGTCTTTGGTAAGAATATGATGTGTACAATAAATTATTTAAACGCATCCTTTCCAAATTCGAGAATAAATAAAACGAATATTTATAAGGAAACATTATCCATTATTATTGATGATTTAAATGATTTTTTTTGAGAACACTTGAATTATTCTGAAATGCCCTTTTTGTTACTATTTGCTTTATTATTACCAAGCATTTTTTTATTGTTTTGTTGGGCTTTAAAATTAAATTTTAATTTGATTAATTATCGTGTCCTTAATTTTGATAGAAACACATTCTTGAAAAGTCGTGAACTTTTCTCATTTGTGTTATAACGAATGTTCAACTTATTTTATTAAAAAGTTTTTACTTGTTTACTAGATATTCAGTTATTAATTAAAAATATGCTAGTATTTTAAATCATCGTTCACCTTTTTTATTATTATTTATATTTCCAAAATTATCCCAAATAAATACTTTTGCAACTCAAAGTTTGATTTGCTTTCTTTTATTGTATGTGTTACATGTTTACATGCAGCATCGTTCTCATTAACAATTTTACGTCACAGTTCATAGATAACCCGAGAATAACACTGTATCGTTTTTAAATAAATTTAACCCATCTATATTGAGGTAGATGATGATCCGTTTATTTTGTGTTTTATATTTTAAGTTTGCCGCAAAAGCGTCACATCTAACACTTACTTGCCTCAATAAAGAAATAACTGTTCCTCTGAAATTATTCACTATATTAAGTAGTTAGACGCATTCGACGTCATTCATAAATCGTTTATTCCATTTTAGAACACTGTTGCGCAGGTTAAACGCGACCATTTACATTGTTTTCGTCTAAATTTGGCTACAAATTGAATGTGGTGGGTAAGTGAGTATCGCACTCAAACATATCGATTATAGAACTATCGAGGAATATGTATGCAATATTTAACGTAAAATTTAGAACATGGTAAGTTAATTTAAGATTTTATGTTTCGTTCCATGTCATATTAAAACAGTGAGGTTCTTAAAAGTGTACGTTTTGAATAATAATAAAGTTCTAGCTCGAAAATAAATCTGCTTGCTAAAAACCTCATCTCAGTATCAGTATTTACGCTACATATATTTTCTCTTTTGCATGCCGCGCCATTGTAAATATCCACATATAACTATAAAAAGGTTTTAAACGCGCGGACAGGAGATATTTATGACCATCAAAACAACAATGTTCTGTTGTTCTTAGTTGTATAAGAGAAATCATGGTGATTCGTTACTGTCAACAGCATCTGGAACCGGGAAATGGGTTTATTTCAAACAAAATCTCATTTTAGAAATTGATTACCACAAAAAAAAATTAATATCACCATACAATTTTAATTATCCTTGATCATAACTTTACAACTAACTACCAAACGTAACCTAATTAGTTTAATTAGAGTTAATTATAGTATCCAAGACTGAAGGAGATTGGTGTAAGTGGATAGCTACTTTAAATGTCGCTTGTGTATAATCACATTAAAATTACGGATATATTTTCTAATATTTTTTTTGGTTGATAGACAGTGTTTAATGTGCTTGCGTGTCCATTCGTTTCGTTGGTCACCTTGATGGCATAATACGCTCTAATCAATTACAATTTTTGACGTCAATTATATATGGGACAGTCACATTCTTTAAATACCAATAATGTAACGGTTCATGACATTCTTCAGATAAGCACGAAAGAGGTGCTTGGAAAGTTGTTAACCCACCCATAAAGTTTAGTAATGAAAATTAAAACAAGTCGTTAAAAATTTTAACTATCTCGAGAATGAGAAAGGAAATGTTTTGAAAATTGTGTGAGTTTAAACGGCAAACATAACGTTTAGCGGGAATATTGGTTTTCCAAATAAACACGCTATCTCAAGAACATCTTTTTTGTGTTTTTATTTATGTACGGACCTCTCTCCCATAACAATGCTTTACACGGCGAATTCATGATTCGTCGCTGAATTATTCATGTATAGCCCGGAGGCGCACTTCATGCGCGTCTTATTTGTAAATATTTAAAGTAGTGGTGGTAAAATTTTTCTCGGAAACGTGCGGTTTTCTATATATCAGAAAAGTTTTGCAATAAGATTCTATTAAAAATTTTGGGTATTTCTATGAATATGATAAATATTTTAACTTACTTTTTTGTTGTTTAGTGCTGCACAAAAGAGCTAATCTTTCTGTAAATGCACTCCACATGTCATTGCGACTATGGAACGGAGAAACGACGCACTTTCGGCATCGCGCCACGGACGACTGGCGTCTACCAAGCGACGTTGCGCTTGATATCTTGATAAGCGCTTTAGATTTTCCTGCGCGATGCCCTACAGTAGCTCGCTTCACTATATTTACATTGTAAATGCATTTTTTAAATGTTTTCTTACTCTTAAAAATGATCTTTAACCTTATAACGGACTTTGTGATACACAATAATAGTTGTTTATGTTAAACTTAATGGTTGAAATAAGATTATTATTTATAAAAGGTTTTCGATGTAAATTAAAATGAGTTCAAATATGAAGGGTTTATCCTAAAAAAATAAATCATTTTGTATTAAATACAGTAAATATTGAGTTTATTAATCTCAATATAACGGACATCGTTAGAACGTACTTCGGATATAACGAACAAAATATTTTTAAGTCATACTATTAATATTATGTATATATTTAATACATCAGTATTTATTTTTATTTATTTATTTATTATATATTGACGTCATCGACTCGTTTTATGCTATAAGATCTGTTCTCCATTCCAACATCTAACGCTCTCCTTTGACGGTAACTATGATTTTTGCTTTTTCTGTTAATCTGCCTCTTATTTAAGAAATCTTGTAACCATTTTCAGTCGTGCCAAAGAAGAAGACCTTTTAGGTTGAAACAATTGTCGCACCGAAGTAACTGTTAATAAACAATCATCATCGTACACACCGGCGAGACGATAGCAACAAACCGCCCAGCAACAAACTTTTTCCTTTATATTTCCACCTACTTCTAGGGCCCATATCTTTGTTATTTAGAAAGATAGCGAAAAACTAAGCACACGGTTGGAAAGCTTGGTCTTTTCTCTATCTTAAACCGATATGTTGATAATAAGAGCAAGAAAAAATAAGAAACGTCGCGCTGCATTCAATTTACCTCAAAATTACCAAACTTCACGGCCTTGTGCAGCCGTTACCAGATGGAAATTCAATAAATGGCTTATATATTCGGAAAGAGCTGACCTTGGACTATCTTATTCCGAGTTTTCATCCGTCAATATCTGTCGGCGTCTGTAAAAAAAACGCTCCTGAAAAGGAGCCTACAGTTGGCAACAAACTTTACTTTTGTACTTCCATCTATGTACTTTTCGGACGGATATCTTTGTTATTTATAACGCTAGCGAAAAACTAAGCACACGGTTGGAAAGCTTGGTCGAAATTTTTCGCTATTTTTCTAGATAACCAAAATATTGGCCCGAAAAGTAGACGGAAATACTAGGGAAAAGTTTGTTGCTGGGCTGATAAACGATTGTGCAAACGTGTGATTGAGATGTGTTATACACCGATGAAAAGAGCAGAAAATTTCCCATAAGATGAATATAGTTCTAGAGTTTTCTCCCCGTCATATAAGAGAGTTATTGACCCAAGCGTGATTTAGCCGCGGCAAAAATTCGTGGCAGCGCGACGTTTCTTACTTTTTCTTGCTCTCATTATCAACATATCGGCGGACGAAAACCCGGTTTAAAATAGAGAAAAGGCCAAGCTTTCCAACCGTGTGCTTAGTTTTTCGCTATCTTTCTAGATAACAAAGATATGGGCCCTAGAAGTAGGTGGAAATATAAAGGAAAAAGTTTGTTGCTGAGCGGTTTGTTGCTATCGTCTCGCCGGTCATCGTACACCTGCTACGATGAATATGGAATCCCAAATCGCTAAATTAATAAGCCTCGTATCAAGTCTCGTCTCGCAACCTCCACTCTCGTCTCGTCTCGTTTCTCGTACGAGAGTCTCATAAATGTATCGAAATCTCGTCATGCATAATCTTATTGTTTCAGTGCAATAAGGAATACTTAAATACTTGCTATAATGTAAGAGTCAGAAGAGAGAATTACAGCTTCCAGCCCTGTCGGTCGCAAATGATTTTGTTTATTACCCAATCGTTTAGGCATAAAAAACATCGTACAGATTTATTATTAACGCGATTTCGATGTTTTCTTATAGAGGGTGTTTTTTTAAGCCAGATAGAACTTATGAAAGGGTTAACTGTCAAACGAACTGTGATACTGCACTCACTTTTGATATCTATGATCAGTATACTCTGGCAAACCATCATGAACAGATTGACGCTTGAACAACGCTATAACAACGCTACCCAATTATCCAGATTTACTTTAAAAATCAGTCATCAATTCGCATAACTTATAAACGACTTCGTGATTTGTATGGCGCACATAATCGTCCATCTGAGCAAGCCATTCGTCGAACTGTGGATAGATTTCATACCACATACTCTCTAAATGATAATAACATAAACACGTCGAAAAAATGTGCGTGCTGAAGAGAATATCGCCGCTGTAAACGAAAATGTGGAAGAAGATTCAAATTTATCGATTCGTCGTCAGTCGCAGGAATTAGGGCTCTCTCCGTCCATTACGTGGAAAATTTTGCCCAAAGATCTTGGCCTACACCCGTTTAAGATCCAGCTGGTACACGAATTAAAACCACGAAACCATCATATGCGTTGTTCTTTCGCCGATTGGACTCTAGAGCAGTTGAAAACTGATCCCATGTTTTATCGCAAAATTGTGTTCAGCGATTTTTGGTTTAACGGGCCGCATATGGAGTGAAACCAATCCACAACAGACCCTGCAGACTTCATTACATCGAGAAAAATGCACCGCTTGGTATTGTTTGCACGCTGGTGGCTTCATTGGACCTTATTTCTTCAAAAATAAAGTCGGAGCCCGCGTTACGTCAATGGAGATCGTTACCGCACCATGATCAATAATTTTTTGTTTGAAAATATGGATGACATTGATCTGGGTGAGATGTGGTGGCGACCGTAACCATCTTATTGAAATCAAAATTTGGCGATAAGTTGATTTTGAGAAATGGACGACATGCCAATTGGCCTCCAAGGTCGTGCGATTTGACACCTCTCGATTACTTCCTGTGGGGCCAAGTGAAGTCATTGGTTTATGCTGATAAACCAGTAACAATTGACACCTTGGAGGCCAACATTGTTCGTGTTATTCGTGACATACGGCCAGCAATGCTCGAAAAGGTGGCCCAAAATTGGACTTCCAGAATGCGCTTCGTCAAGAACAGCCGCGGCGCCATATGCCCAAAATCATTTTTAAATGTTTTTTTTTAAAATTTAGTAGCCGGTATGCTTAAGAAGATCTCGTGCCACTAAACTTAAAATAGGAAATTCATAATCATGAATTTTCCACCATTGTAATATATCTGTGTCTTTATTATACCGAGGCATAGAATAATATTTTTCAAGCTCCTGCATCCATTCTCCTTCGGAGGACGTAGGATTTACTGCATACAAAACATCAAAATCAATTACAAAATCCGACTTTTCCGCTCTTCTCGTTCCTCCAATGCCGTTACTTTCGAACGTTGGCCTTCTGATTGATGGAAATAGGCTTTGCACATATTTTCAAATTTCTGAATCGAAGTCTCTTTTAATTCTTGGCTCCATCTTGTCATATCAAAAACTTCTATCTTATGCCGCGAATCGAGAATTAAAACTGCAGCTTAAATCTAATTAGTGTTACGATAATGCTTTAATATTTTGTCTCTCCCAGCCTGAAAACTAATAATAAGCTGGTCTTCCACAGCGTTTTGATCTGCCTATTATTATCTATTAGTATATTGATACATACAACCACCATAGGTAATTTGACGTACTTCTCTCTTCTGAGTTTCTTGGAAAGTATTTGAAAGTTGACTAGTAATTTATGCACTTCTTCTAGCAATATCCATTCTTTGTCCTCAAAAGCATATAGTTTTAAATCAACAACATTTTGACACAATGCACCAAGTCCATGTCTACCTTCAAGAGGTACTTTCAACATATCATTACTGGAATTCCAGCGTGTAGATACGAAAATATTTACAGACATATTGCAGATATTATTTGCAGAAATACTTACCTGCGAGAGTCTTGTACGAGACGCAAGACATCATGCACGAGACTCGAGACGAGACAAATGAAAGTCTCGTCGTATATTGTCCGAGTATTGTCTCGAGTCGAGTCTCGAAAACGAGACGAGACTATGCGAGACTCTCGTGCGCACCACTAGTAATCGCAGTAAGGTAGATGCAATTTATGTGCCAAATAGCGTCCAAAGCGTCGTTGAACCGCTTCGATGCGATCACGATAGACCGCGTACATAAGATTCCACACTACGGAACCATAGGATAATACGCTATTAACAAATGCCATATAAAGGGATTTAATGCTTGTAAAATTGGTAAAGTATCTACTTATTCTGATACAAACCATAGGTTATGCAGGGCTTTCTCCACCATGAATTCGATGTGAAGGTGATATCTCAATTTAGCATCAAGTATAATTCCAAGATCCTTCACTCTGTCAGTACAGATGATAGGTCTACCATTAAAGTTGTAATTAAAATTAATAGGATAGCGTTTCCATGTAAACGTTATTTTTTGGCATTTGTTCAAATAAAGTTTGTTAACGCAACAGTAATCATGCAGACGATCAAGGTCCTCCTGGAGCCTCGGGCAGTCATGACTAGAGCTGACTTTGGTAAATATTTTATTATTATCCGCATAGAGCAGGAATTTGGAAAATGTAAAGCAAGAAGAAATATCGTTTATGTAAATTAGAAATAATGTAGGCCCAAGATGATTACCTTGAGGCACACCAAAATGAGATGGGTTTGTAGTCCGATAGAAAGCTACCCAACTTAACTGCCTGACTTCTGTCCGATAGATATGACATTATCCAGCGTACAATACCGGCAGGAGTGTTAAAGGAAGACAGCTTTTGTATAACAATTCCATGGCTAATCTTGTCGAAGGGTTTAGAGTAATCGGTATAAATTGCGTCAACCTGTGAGTTATCATTTAAGGTAGAATGAATAAAGTTAACATAAGACACTAAGTTAGACTCAACCGATCGCCCAGGCAAGAAACCATGTTGTTCAGTAATGAGAGAGTGAGCTATAGAGTGGTTAAAGTAATCATAAACGAATTTTTCAAAAACCTTGGGAATAGACGAGAGAATAGAAATTGGATGGTAATTAGATACAAAAGT